TTCAGTGATCGCCGATAGAGATTTCATTTATTATTTTACATTGTTAGGATAAAGAAAAGTTACGCAAATTCAACATCGATGTGATGCTGATAGAAATCTGGACCAATTTGTGATCAACTCTGTTTGTTTGTTTCCTACTTAAGTGAGGAAATTTTTATTTACAGCACCGACAAATGAATATATATACAAACAAATGTTCGGTTGTGCTTAAAACAATTCAAGTTTTTGTATTGAATTTTTGGATTAAAATTTATTTTTTCCTTTTCAGTAGGTTTTTTGCACATTATCTTCTGCTTGAGAATTGATCGTAATAGATACGGATCTGAATAAGCGACTGGAACGCGGCTGTCTGTCAAAAGCATACAATTTTGAACTCGCGTAAATGTACATTTGTTAAATCCGATAGCATGAACGCTCTTCGAAAACATATGTTCGAAAGTCCTTAATGTTGCATTTTAAATGCAGCAGAAATGCTGCATAAACCGATAACTTTATCAAGCAGATAATCTTATAATAAAGTTTACGCACTCTGTTACATGAGCGACCCACACTCCTTTTTCGCTAATACTTGCGACAATAGTCGTGTTTTCTTTGGTTATCGAGCTCAGTATCATTAACTTTACTAGCACGAGGATAAAGAAATTATAGAAATTAACTCACTCAATGGGAAAAAATTATATTTGCGAGATGATATCTATTTAAATAAATATACATATAACATAAAGGCGATTAATTTGAACCAAGTTAGAAGAAACAATGACAGAATGAAGGGTATTCATCAAACCTTATAAATGCATTGTAAACCGTATAAACTCAAGAATGATAGAATACAAGATTGCGCCGTTCTGTGCGTTGACATTTGTGTACCACAAGTAAACAAAGAATAGAGCGAAAAGAAGAACGAGTTGAAACTGCCAAAACAGTTCACTTTACAGCGAAAAACGTGTTTTAATTTTGCTAAATGCGAAAAAATTGAATTTTTACCTAATCTATTAAAGAACAGTGAGCATTATAGTGCACTCCATTGCTTTGCAATTGAGGCTGCTTCAGCACACGTTTTAGTGTACTCCATTGCTTTGCAATTAAGGCTGCTGCAGAAAACTGCTGCAGCATCTCTGCGGGATTGATTAGTTTACTTGCTAATGGAGGCTGCGTGGAGAAGAAACAAAATCATTATGAAGAAATGCTGCTAATATAATAATAGAGAAACATTTCGGGAATGGCTTTGCCGTGCCCTATGTACACAAAATGCAGCGATTTGTCCCAGAGCTACACTTGCATCTACGCTTCTTGGATCTTGATGGCTGTCGCAATTTAACACACAGCACTTCATTTTAATAGTTTTTACGTAGTCTTCAACTCAAAAATCACTCACAAATTGCAAATTAACACAATTTAAACTGATTTTTCATTTATAATTAAAATTTCTCTTTCGCTGATTTGTAAACAAAGTTTTATTTACAAGTTACCACAACTGTCAAAATCGGCAAAATCAAAGTAGCGGTACCACTGACGGCGCCACCTTTGTTCGCTGCACCGTGGTTAAACTTATAATTGTGTAAACCTTATAAATGAACTATCAAAATTTGTATGGAAACTCGTTTACACATTTCTGATAAATTTCTCCAGCGATTTCACTGAATAATGCAACTCTGTCGCAACTCTAGCTATGTTTTCTTCGGCAATAATCGGGATCCTCATACAAATTTTGCACGCAAATTCAACAACAACGATATGATCCTGATAGAGATCTGGTTCAATTATTATCCGTTCTGTTTGTTTTGTTTCACTGATAATTTGGCCACAAAGTTTGGTAGCCGTGACAAATGAATTCATACACAGACAGACATTCAGCCATTGTTTCTTTTAACTTGCTTCAAATAAATAACCTTTATGTTATATGTATATTTATATAAATAGATATTGGCCCGTAGTCATAGTCAAAATAAAGTCCCATTGAAAATTATGTCAAAAAGCTGCAACTAACTTTAAAGTCGACTTTATTTTGACTATGACTACGGGCCATTATCTCGTAAATATAATTTTTTCCCATTTAGGGCCAGTTTTTCAGTGTCAGTTTAAACTGAGATTAACCCTCTAGTAGGCCAATTTTTTTATGAGTTGAAAAATTCAGGAATGGGTTATTTTTGCACGAGAAATCCAAAACTGGTGTCCATTTCGATCTGTGACAGTAACTTTTTCGTACAGGGGAGAAAAACTAAGACCGTCTGGAGACGGGCTCGCCGATATACTTACACATATTTTCAGCTTTCTCCTACATAATGTTGACCTACGAACCCAAGAATGATAGAATACAAGATTGCGCCGTCCTGGGCGTTGACATTTGTGTACCGCAAGTAAACAAAGAGTAGAGCGAAAAGAAGAACGAGTTGAAACAGCCAAAGCAGTTCACTTTACTGCAAAAAACGTGTTTTAATTTTGCTAAATGCGAAAAAATTTCATTTTTACCTAATCTATTAAAGAACAGTGAACATTATAGTGCACTCCATTGCTTTGCAATTGAGGCTGCTTCAGCAAACGTTTTAGTGCACTCCATTGCTTTGCAATTAAGGCTGCTGCAGAAAACTGCAGCAGCGTCTCTGCGGGACTGATTAGTTAACTAGCTAATGGAGGCTGCGTGGAGCAGAAACAAAATCATTGTGAGGAAATGCTGTTAATATAATAATAGAGAAACATTTCGGGAACGGCTTTGCCGTGCCCTATGTACACAAAATGCAGCGACTCGTCCCAGCGCTACACTTGCATCTACGCTTCTTGCATCTTGACGGTTGTCGCAATTTAACACACAGCACTTCATTGTATTAGTTTTTACGCAGTCTTCAACTCAAAAACCACTCACAAATTGTAAATTAACACGATTTAAACTGATTTTTCACTTATAATTCAAATTTCTCTTTCGCTGATTTGTAAACAAAGGTTTATTTACAAGTTACCACAACTGTCAAAATCGGCAAAACCCAAGAATGATAGAATACAAGATTGCGCCGATTGCAGCAGAATTCGTGAGAGTAATTTTAGCGTGACGTCATCGTAGAGTTGACAACTGAGAGCGGCGAGAATGAGGGCGACTAGTGATGTGCTGAATTGTCCCCAATACTCGGTACCCAATACTTAAAAAAGATTTCGGTACCCTATACTTCCTTTTCGGTATCCGATACCGATTATTTACATTAAACCCTCGCCATTATATGCATTTCAGGTTTAGAAAAAACTTTCATTACTAATTTATATGATATCGGCTAAAACACTTGAACTTATCGCCACAGAAAAATATTATTTTATCAGTTTTAACCTTTGTCGGTCCAAGGTTCAAGAAAAATACTTTGACGGATAAAGAAGCCTTTCAGGGGAGAGATTCTGTAGCCAGCTAGCGACAAGTTTCTCATCGATATCGCACTTGTTGACTTACAAATATTTGATATCAAACGTCGACAAAATCGATACCGATTCGAAAATTGTCGTTAACTGGTTACAGAATCTGTCCCAGGCCTACAAAAATGATATCGTCCGATTCAGCTGGAACAAAAATGCTTCAAACAAGTAAGGGTTTCTCTTGGCATCGAACCGACATATATACATCTTTCATTTGAATCAGTAAAAAAGCTCTATTGACTCTTACATTCGGGTTTTGTTAGGCGTTTTTTCCATATTTTTGGCCTATGTGCGCTTTTGTTCGAAACCTAAATGTTTCGGTACCGAGTATCGAGAGTATTGGGTACTTAGAAGTATTGACTCAGCACATCACTACTGCTGTCTGCTCTACTATGACGTCACCAAAACAGCTGATTCTGTCAAAATCACTGAGAGCCGAGTAGCGGTATCGTCATCGGCGCCACCTCTGTATTCTCTCCACCGTGGGCAAAACCAAAGTAGCGGTACCACTGACGGCGCCACCTTTGTTCGCTGCACCGTGCTACAAACCGGCAATGCCGTCTGCAGACGGTCAAAAATGCAAACTGGGTTTTTATATGTCGGCAAGCCGGTCTGTAGACGGTCTGTGTTCGAAAGCAATTTTTTCCATTTCAAATGGTGACATAATTATAAAACTTATATTAAAATATGGTGCTTTTAACAACGAAATAAACCGAATTTTTTATATCAAAAAATTTTTCAAAAGAAAACATTTTTTTAATTACGAAAGTACTAAATAGCAAGAAATAGTTAATTTTAACCGTGTTTTCAAAATCTGTAATTCAACTGCCGATTAAAATAAAACGGATTGACATAACGGATTAAAATTTACTTTGCCGTAAGGGTACTATTTTTGTCTAAAGATCGTGCCTTACGAATGTAGAAAAAAATTATTATAGGTGCACTAAAAAGGTGTTTAGTTAACGACGGTCTGGAGGCGGTTCTGCCTACTGTAGGGTTAAGTAAACTGAGTTTAAATTGAACAGCTGACTGACATTTGATTGGCTGATCTTAGTTTAAACCAGCCAGATCGGGCGTTTAAACTTAGTTTAAACCACGGCCGTGCACTGAAAGACTGGCCCTTAGTGAGTTAGTTTCTATAAGGGTATTCATCAAACCTTATAAATGCATTGTAAACCGTATAAACTTATAATTGTGTAAACCTTATAATTGAACTGTCCAAATTTGTATGGAGACTCGTTTACACATTTCTGATAAATTTCTCCAGCGATTTTACTGAATAAACTTGATAAGCTGATTTTCGTTGTTTTCTTTGCTTTGTTTAATTTTCGCAAGTTTTCCAGTGAAACAAGATGGCGTAGAACCCTCTTAAAAAGTTGGCTTTTTTCACTCTCTTGTTCTTACACGATCTTGTGTCGTTCGTTCATAAAGGATAATCGTAACAATAACGAGAGCTGTCATTCGGCCCCAGGTTATAGCATGCTAGGTTTGCCTTACCTAATAGTATGCAAATTCAAAAGGTGTAAATGCACGTTAATAAACGCTTGTGTTATATTTTAGATCTGGCAATATGTGGAAAAATGATATTCACTGAATGTACCTCTTAAAACAAGATGGTTCCCTTTCATACTTTACAGAGTGGTGCAAGGTGTATTGAATTTTCAAAAGTCGTGAATGTTTTACGGAAATAAAGTTTATTTTCTTAATTAGGTATTTAGCGCTGAAAATATTTATTGTGCATATATTGTGAAATATTAAACGTTTGTTTAATGATGCGGCGACGAAGCGAAAGAAAGAAATCTACTGATGTTTCGTCTCCTGCCCCGGCGTCGCGTCGTACGATTCGTCGGTCTCGCAAAACATCTGAAACTGCAAGTGAAAAGAGCGCACATCCCGAAATGTCACCAACGGGGGATGAAGCAGAAAAGGATACTCCCTCTGCGGATTGCCCCGTTGAACCCACAAATGAGGAATCGTCAGCTGAACCCGGTAGAAATCGTTCACGTAATCGTACACCGGTAAAGGATCGAAGCAGTCCCGCCAAACGCAAAGCTCAGAACACTATCGCTGACCTAAAAATCGAAGCTATCCCGGAAGAAAACAGCTCGATAAAAGAAGATAGCCCAAATGAAAGCAAACCAGGTGCAGATGTGACTGCAAGCAATGAACAAGCTCCAAAATCGGATATAGATGCACAAGCTGCTTCGTGCTCGTCAAGTCCGAAAACTAATGTTGATATTATGAAGCCATTAGATGTATTGGAAATACAAGCAGAGGAACAAGATGAAGAAAAGTTACAATCACAAGATGCATCAACTAAAAATGAAAATATGGTTGAAAACGTTGATAGTTCAAATAAAAATGAAGAAGAAAAGTCGAATAACGATGAAATAATAAACAAAGGATTTGAAGCGGGTAGCTCTGACGCTACAGATGATTTGAAAAATAATAAGACAGATTCTCAGTCACCTAAATGTGAAGTCACCAATTCCGACGAAAAAACAGATGCGGCAAAGGCGAATAAGCGAACCTGGATTACAAAGAGAACAGTTCAAAATCGGAGTCCACTGCTTGTGATTACCACTGAAACATTAAAACGTCCTGAAGGCGTACATCCTGCTCCAAAACTGAACTTAGGGTCCCCTGAAATACAAGAAGTAAACTCTGAACGCGAAGAAGGCGAACAGACACCTTCTCCAGAAAGAGAAACACACAAAATAAATACTATAAATAGTACTGAAAAACTTAACCGCAATCCAATAGAGCTATCTTCCGCACCAAAAACTATTAACAAAATAAATATAAAAGTTGAAAAACAGAGCCCGACAAGTAAAAAGCCTAGTAATGTACTATTCATTACAAATCTTGTCCGACCATTTACCGTGCTCCAGTTAAAAGGCTTGTTAGCTCGCACGGGAAAAATGGTGGAAGAGGGATTTTGGATTGATCGCATAAAATCAAAATGTTACGTACAATATGAAACTGAAGAGTATGCATTTGAAATTTGTTATTTTTGTTTTTGTCATACTAAAGTTAATTTTATTTTTAGTGAAGCCGTTGAAACCCGTCACGCATTACATGGAGTACGATGGCCAGTCTCTAACCCAAAATGCTTAATTGTAGAATTTGCAAGGAAGAGTGACTTGGATCGTGCTATTCAATCTACTAAAGAAGAACAATCCAATTTTGGTCAAGAAAGTCATAGAGATAATGTTCTTATCGGGATGGGTTGGAATAGGGATCGAAATGGCATAGATGAAAAGAGGGTAAGTGTAAAGGATTGCAATATTGCTTCATTAATAAAGTAAACATGTTTTTAAAATTATGGCCCTATTATATATAGCACCTGGTGTCTAGTTGCTGGCACTAAGTATTATGTATAGCGATTAATCTCAATATACAGAAAAGCACAGACAACATCCCAATTTCCTTTTTGATATGTACATTTCGAGGTAATTCGCAACTTTGCTCCAATGTGTTTAACAATTTATGTAAACAAATAACGAAATCGTCACAAGCGGGCAACAGAAAATTACGCTACTAGACTCAGTAGCCGACAGTCAGTAGCCAGTTGCTGCAGGTAATGCGAATTTTAAAATACTTAGGTCTCTTTTTATGCGGTTTTTCAAACCATTTTTCGCTGTAGCGATTTTGCTTTTTTGAGAGTTTTTATTACTTTTTTTTCATTTCGTAAGAGACAATGCTTCTGATAAATAATTTGTCTTTGTATTCTTACATAATTCATATACATATATTTTTTTGTTTTTGATTAAAATACGGATTGAATTTTATTTATTTGATTAATGCTCAGTTTTACATCGAATAATAAGTCTTGAAGTGAAATAAATATTTTTTTTTTGGTTAATATTGCCTCACTGGATTTTATGCCGTTTTTCAGAATTTTTTACATGGAGTATCTGAATTTATGCGGTTTTTGAAAATGCTGGAACGCATCCTCTGTTTTTGTATGAAAGTAAAGAACTTTTTATGCGGATTTTTTCTTTATTCGCCTTTCTGACTAACGCATGTACCGCAATAAAAAAGACCTAAGTGTATATGGTTGCCCATCGGCTATCAGCCATAAATAATAGGGCCATTAATATATATGTACATACAGTGATGGACAAAAGTCTACATACACCGCCTCTTGTCGTTGATTTGAAAGTACAAAAACTTTATTGAAAAATGTGTTGATACAGTTTTATTTGAAACCATAAATCTGGGCTTTGCGGTGGTAGAGCAGCCAATGCTTAACAATGTGTGCCATGTGCTTTCGATCGTTATCCTGTTGAAAGCTCCAACTTGCACCAAGCTCCATATTATCCACCGAAGGCTTCAAATTATGTTCCAGTAAAGATTTGTATTGATAACGATCCATATTACCCTCAATAAATGCTATTCTTCCAACTCCAGATGCCGCAACAGCCCCCCAAACCATTACGTTGCCACCACCATGCTTCACAGTTGATAATAAATTCTTCGGATTAAGTGCAGTATTTTTTTCCTCCAAACTTTTGCCCTTCCATCGCTGCCGAATATATTGAACTTTGACTCATCTGTAAACAAAACTTTTTGCCAAAAATCCATCTCCTTTTCTTTATGTGATTTCGCGAACTCCCAGCGAAGTGTACGGTTTTTTCAGAAATAAGAGGCTTTTTGCGTGGTGTTCTACTGTGGAAACCGTTATTGTTCAGAGTTTTTCGAATTGTTCTTGGGTGGACACACTTGTTTGATGTGCCTGTTATGTTCGGCTATTTTTGGAGCAGTAACTTTTGGACTTTTGTCCACTTCTTTGAGAATCAAGCTGATGTCTCTGCGAGATAGTTTCCTCGGGCGGCCTTTGCGTGGCCTATTTTCGGTAGAAACACTCTTTTCAAAGTTTTTTACAATGGTATGTACTGTTAGCCGACTCAAGTTAAAAATTTTTGAAATTTCACCATATGATTTGTTTTCTTTTCTGTGCTATATAACCAAATTTCTTACGTCAACTGATATTTCTTTTCGCGGAGCCATTGTTGATGCATAAGTCTTCAAACCACAACTAAATTCAATATCAGCAAAGCACCAAACATAGTAAAAGGAAACAAAAAAACAAACGGTAGTTTACCGTTATCACAACACAGCATACCAGTTTACAAGCTATGAACTTCGCTCTGTATGTACACTTTTGTCAACGCTGTTTCTGCGTTTTTTTACCATAACTTTATTTTATGTAAAAGAATGGATTTTTTTTTAGTTGATTGTGATAAGAAAATGGTTTCAAATAAAACTGTATCAACACATTTTTCAATAGAGTTTTTGTACTTTCAAATCAACGAAAAGAGGCGGTGTATGTTGACTTTTGTCTATCACTGTAGTTTAATCTAAGAGTTATGAAATAATGAAATATTAAAATTTTTTAAATTCAATTTTAAATGTACATATCTTTTAAATTGTTTGTGAAAACCATGGCGCAATAAGCAGGTGAAGTAATAAAACTTGCTTTACTTTCTGAAATTCGGCTGCCATATAGTCATGGCATGGTACAATAATTACAGATATTGTATTCCCAGAGAGCGCATATTCCGATCTACATTATTTGCAAAATATCATTGTTGCCCACACTAAAAGGTTTACTGTAACGGAAAAGGGATATTTCTATACACCATATACCAACGGTGGGCAATCGCGGCTCTTTGAGCCAAATGCGGCTCTTTTCTTAGCAAAGTGCGGCTTTTTTTAACCGACTTCCAAAAAAGGAAGAGGTTATCAGTTCGCCGGAATATTTTTTTTTATGTATGTTACCGCATAACTTTGGACCACGTCAACCGATTTCGATAATTCTTTTTGCATCGGAAAGGTAGTGTCTCAGAGGTGCTCCCATACTAATCTAATTTAGATCCGATCATTGGATCATGAAATATATACATATATATATATTTTTTAAAGTCGGTTTCTTTATTGCTAAAAATTACTTGTAATTTTCTTTATGCTTAGATCATTGTGGCTCGTTTCACTATTGAAAATACTTATTTCTTTGCTGGATATTCTTTTTTATTGTCTTAATTTTTTATTTTTAACGACTTCCAAAAAAGGAGGAGGTTATCAGTTCGTCGGAATAATTTTTTTTTATGTATGTTACCGTATAACTTTGGACCACGTCAACCGATTTAGATAATTCTTTTTGCATCGGAAAGGTAGTGTCTCAGAGGTGGTCCCATACTAATCTAATTCAGGTCCGATCATTGGATCATGAAATATATATACAAATATATATATATATGATTTTTTGTATTCGGTTTTTTTTTGCTAAAAATTACTTGTATCCTTTTTATATACACATACGCAAATTGAGATCGAACATTACCTGCAATTCGGAGAATGACCGATATGATGGAACATTTGCAAACTTGAATTTGTCTCTACAAGGAGAGAATAAAAATCTTTTTGATTTGTCGCAAATTATTTTAAGTTTCGAAGCTAAACTACGTCTTTTTATTCATGATCTCCATGTCTAGAAAAAAATATTGCACATGATTTAAAAACAGATTTTGAATAAAGGTTTGCCGATTTGAAATTATTTAAATGTACGTTTGCATACTTCATACACACCCTTTTATGTAACTTAATTGAGAATGAATTTACATACAATATCCGAAATACCCCTTTTTAAGAAAAGCGAAAGAAGAAAAGTTGGAGTTTTTGGAATTGAAAGAAGATACTGGAAATGCAACATAAAGCTTTACCATTGCTTGAATTCCGGCAACAAGTACCAGATTTAAAATATCCGCTGTTGAAAATTGAAAGAGCAAAGTGACATTTCATTTTGAGAGGAAGCTGTTAGTTTCTGCTGAAAAAATTTTTGCCAACAAGAAAACAGCTGATCGAAAACAGCTGGTTGGAATTTACGCAAATCCCTAAATTGAATTTGATAGTTTGAAAGTTAAAATAGTAAAATGCGACTAATTAAACTTGTAAGAAGGAAGTAATTATTCACTGAGCTAAAAGCACAATGGTTTTTTCAACCTAGTTATGGTTTGATTTTTTCATGGTCAATAAGCCGATTGTAAGGAATGTGGTTCAAGTTGAACATTCGCTTGCTGTTATTTGTTGGCTTCAGTACGAATGTCGTCAGTGCGATACAAAATTTTTATTTTTTTTTCTGTTTTCGTTTTTTTTTTTTTAATTACGAAAAAGCTTCTGTGAAGTGCAGAACCAAATCAAACGACGAAGAAAATTGAGTTTAACCTGCTGCAGTAGCCAGAGCGAAGTTGGGCTATTGTCGTTCGTGTCTCCCGAGGCAGATGAAGCTCCGTCTCGTCTATATCCGGTGGTGGTGTGCCTAGAACGGCATTCACAGGTCTAGAATCTCACTGACTCCCTGTGAATGCCGTTCAGGGCCTCGGTTGCTTGATGAACCTCTGGACTTCGTCCGTCAGTTCATATAGATGCCTCCTGACGTGCCTAGGCCAGGGCTCCTCTGCAAGCAGCTGTCTGTTTGGGTGGCCACTTCAGTGGCTCTCGATCAGAAACTGCTTGCAGAGCATTATGTTGTGCTCCTTTATGGGGAGCATTTGTGCCTCGTTGTGGAGGTGATGTTCTGGCGACATCAGGAGGCATCCTGACGCTGTCCTGAGTGCGGTGTTCTGTACAGTCTGTAGCTTCGTCCACTGCGCCCTACTAGTCCCCGGCGACCACACTGGTGCTGCGTAGCTTAAAACCGGCCGGCCTATTGCCTTTTATGTTGCCAGCAAAGTTTCTTTGTCTTTGCCCCAAGTACTGCCGGCTAGCGACTTGAGTACCTGGTTGCGGCTCTGTACTTTATTGACAATAGCGGTTGCGTGCGCAGAGAAGGAGAGCAGGCTGTCGAATGTTACTCCGAGTATTTTGGGATTATTCACCGTCGGAATTGGTGTGTCATCGACGTGAATTCCCAGCGGTAGCCTGACCTCCAGGTTGTGAACAGGGTCGCAGAGGATTTTGTAGGGGAGAGGGCTAGACACTTTGCAGTGAAGAAGCGAGAAAGTTCGGAGAGAAAGTTCATCTGCCTCGGGAGACACGAACGACAATAGCCCAACTTCGCTCTGGCTACTGCAGCAGGTTAAACTCTTTTCTAAGTAGATTGAATGAGGATGTGCCAAATGAGTGTCCGGCATGCGGAGAGACCCCACATGACTCGAAACATCTCTTCGCATGCCCGGAAAACCCGACAACCCTAACGGCTTTGTCCTTGTGGATCGACCCGATAGAGGCTGCACGCTTCCTAAGGCTGCCGTTAGTGGAACTT